GAATGAAATTTCGTTTTCCCGACGTCGTTGCGGATTCCATCCGAAAAGATGCTGAGCTTTCGTTTGGCGCAGAAAGCGCGAACGATTACGTGCCCCCTGTTTTAACCAATATATATCGAGTCTCGATATTGCACCATATACCTAAATATTCCAGATCACGTCGATGCCAACTGCCACATCATTTAGCGTTAATTTCTGTTAACGCGATTTGAAAGCTCTACTATTACACTTTTCTATTCTCATTTTTACCTCAGATTTACTAAATCCTTAAACTCGTGTTCCATACACTCTTGTTTTATTTGTTTAATATTATTAAATCAACTTAATTTTACTATTTTTTTTATTCAGTTTCTAAATTTATCGATTAAGCACAATATTAACTTTACGTTAACATATGTACTATTTTGTCGGGCGTTGAATATTATTTTTGCAAATATTTTCTTTATTATTCTAAAAGCGACTTAGGAAATTATACGACTTAGGAATTTATTTATTTATTTATATTTCTCCTTCTTTCTTTTCCACATTAATTTCTAAAATTATTAATATTTTCTCCATCGCGCTACATATAAATGTTCAATTCTCATGTGACAGCTGTTCTGAAAGTTCTATAGTTCTTATCACTTTTTACTGAATATTAAATTTTGATATGATAAAAATAGCTCTTTACTTACATTAAAAATCGTAAAATGATTCTTATTGATGTATCTATCATACCAATTATCTAACAATAAGTAAAAGGATATCGGTCTTACATACATAAATATTTTAGAATACGCCAATTATTCTATCATATTTAGTAGATTATTTCTGTTAACATGATTCAAAAGCTTTTTTTAAATTTTTCTTTTTCTCTTTTTTCACATTTTCAGTTATTAACTGATAACCTAATTTGTTTTAAAACATGTTTTAATATCGCTTAATACTCATTAATACATGATTTCTTTTTCCGGTAGTCGCAGAGTAACGTAATAAACACGTTTATATGATTATTCAATATTTTTAAGTTTGAACCTACTTTATTGAAGTCAAGTTGTGCGCATAAGATCTCAATGATCTTAGATTACTCGGAAAATTTCAAGTTACATAAAACTTCAAAGCGCGGAAGTTTTTATTTTTCTGCACGATCGGCAGTACTGGAGTTGCAGAATCCGCCCCGATGATCAATGTCAGATAGTTATCCGGAATTATTGAATAATTGACAATAAAAAGTGAAATTGATTCGATACACGAGTCTCCAGACATCTTTAGTCCGGAAATTTGGCGGAGGTTGGCTACTCACGCATGAGACTAACCGATACACACAATTTCCTCTCGCGACGAGTCTGGGACGTCCCAATATTCGATGAAAAGGTTTGCGACAAATGAGATTACGAAACTGTCCTACCGCGAGAGAGTGTTATCGGGAGGCGAAAAACGGCGCACCACCAACGGCAATCAGTGTAGTAGACTACGAACCCTCGTAATCGATTATCCTAAATGCGTACGTGAGATTATAAAGAGATAAGTATTAGATAGATGGGTAAATAGATAGATGAAGCATTTATTGATATTTTAGGGCAAGCCCTCTAAGAACATGCAGAAAGAGTAAACAACAAGGAAATGTAAAATAAGAAAATTAACAAACAAAAGTAGTATAGAAATTTGTAGAAAAACAAAATAAGAAAATTTATAGACAGCGTAAAAATTTCGAAAAAAATTTTAAAGTAAAGAAAATAAGATATAGTATAATATAATACAATAAACAAGAACAGCGAAGGAATATACATATAATATAAGAAAAGAAAACGAAAATAGCAATCGACATAAGATAAAAAAAGAACAAAGAAACAGAGGAAAAACCGAAAGCAAGAAAGAGAGAGAGAGAGAGAAAATGAATAAATGAATTTTTATTAGCTTCCTCTCATACATTTATTTTGAAAATACAACTCTTACAAATAATTTAAAGTTTAAATTTTATTGAGAGAGAAAGAGAGAAAGGGGGAAAGAGAAGGAGAGGGTCTTTTCCATGAGCGAGTTAATACCGGGAGTAAGTTCGTCGATACAAAATAATCCGTGGTGACAAATGTCACGGCGAGACAGGTCTTGGTAGAGAGGCTTCGGTTCGACGGTCGTATAAATTTGTAGATTCCAGCGCCCGAGGGACGATCCTAGAAGATACCTACCTACCTATCTACTTAGCTACGTTGTTCCGAATCGGCGATTCGCAAGATACATGGTCGGTTGTTAGCCTTCTAACGAGGCTTTAAGCCCCACCTGAGCGATGCCACTCGTTAACAGCGGCTACCGAAAGCTATAGTTACGCAGGAACGTTTTAAATCTTTCCTTCGCGCGTTTTATCAAGAACGTGTCTTTACTTTACGTGCAGTCGACGATATATACATGGCACTGGGTCAAATGCAGTACAAGCACAAATTACAGTTTTTATCATTTTAATAGTTCGCCATTTTTTTGAACGTCACCACAAACCTATTAGTTGGTTTTTAATTTCAATAAAATATTAGCAGCTCTTAACCAGATATTTTTCCCACTTAAACATTTTACTATTAAAATGTTTATTGTTTAAATTTTGAAATTACTAAAAACAGACAATATGTACTTTGTAAATTGTTTTATGAAGCAATTTATTAATCTCTTAATTTTGTTTTCATGTATTTCAATTTTCAATAGAGACTCTCTTCTGTTTGGAAATCGGATAAATTTGTGAGCTTTCAGGCATTATATTTATTGTATCTAATGAATAAATCGGCCTGATGTTTGTATTTCTGACGGCGGAAGGTTGTATTTCCCACCAACATCCGCGACGTTAATGTTGTAATAGACGTTACTAACGCGCATCAGGGAACTAGTTGGCATAGAGTAGTATAACATCCGCTCACTTCTTTCGAAGGAAACCAAATTCCGCGACATGGATACTTTGAGAGACACGAAATATGCAAATTGAGAGACGGCAATAAAAAAAAAAAGGAAAGTACACTCGTGACCTGCACTCGTGAATATGGAAGGGCAAATCTGAAATGTTAAGGAACACATTCGTGAGGCGAATTTAAAGTATATAATATATCATAACGCGTGCGTGTTTGTGTGTGTTTATTTTCCGGCGCTTATGCGAACGCATCGTAAAAAGCACGTTTTCATTTATGAAGAAGCGAGATACTTTTGGTACCAATCCACGCAGAGTGGACCTCAAAGGAACGTAAATTCTTCCGAGCTTTTATCAACACGTGAGCCGAAGCTCAAACGTTAAGTAATGTTAAATAAGAGAGACCATGGATAAATGTAACACGAGACGAAAGTAACAAATGTTATAAAAAAATATCAATCAACCAATAATTTTTTCCTTCCATTTTTATGCATCAAGTACACCCTCCCTTCATTGCAGTTATCGATAATACATACGTATGAATAAGCGATTCCTGAAATTCTATTATTTAAAAAAAAAATATTACTTTATTATTCTATTAAAATATCAAAAGTAAATTTTTAGCATCAGTTTCAATTGCGTATTTTTTTATTCTAATCGAGTGAAACTTTCTTTTATCATTGTATTAAATTTAAGGATAAGCATAATAGTTATTATAGTTGTAAGTTAGATGAGCATGTAATAAAGCGTTAACGAGACATATAGCTAATGGAGACAAAAGTAACAAGATGTTACTCTGTTCTCATTTGGCTTTTTTCTATATACTCTGCAGGAAAATCAAACTTGCTATGGAAAATTAACTAACTACATCATAACCCCCCTTGCCTAGAAAGTCAGACGTCCTTACATAGAGAGGAAGATGGACTGGACATCGTTTTGCGTGAAAGTCGAACCCTTAGGTAAGGAGGGAGGGGAGACGGATGGAGTGGACCTTGCTTTGTGTGAAAAGTTCTACGTTCTTAGGCAATGGGACAAATCTTACTTTGTATGGAAAGTCGGACGGAAGAAAGTCCACAGAAGTTCATTCTCTAAAAAAAAAGAAAATTGACTACTAAAATTTCAGTTTAACCCTAAACATCACAAAAACTATAATCGCCACAGTTCATGAGGTAAAATTATTCAAGATCGAACTACAATGCTATTGATTATGATTAATCTAACTATTTATCTAGATTAAAATTCATCTACATATTATCCTCAGTAAAATTTTTAATAGATCGTAATCTAACTATTTATCTAAATTAAAATTAATCGATGTATTCTCTTTGGTAAAATTTTTAACAGATTGTAATCTATAAACTATGTGCAGGATGACTAATATTTTTTATTTCATCAAAAATAAAAGAATATAACACATGAAAAACATAAATGTTATCACACTAATTCATCAACTGCATTACAATTCAATTAGACGTCATTCAATCATCATTAGAAAATTAATTAACTTAAGTCTAAAAAATATTTAATAAGCTATATTGACGAAAATTACTTTTAATAGTAAAATCAATTCCAAAAATATAACTCGTTTAATGCTGTAAGTAAAATAAGAGTATATATATATAACAAATCTGAATTAATCCAAATGTTAGATAGGATTAATCTCAAAGGTAAGACTAACAAATTTCATACATAGTATATAAGACCGATGTCTTTCACAAATATATTTATAATATTTGACACACGATACACATAAGCAAATAAAATACTTTTACACAATAAAAATTTATTTTTGCAATTAAATGTTATTATATAAGGTATTATCTCTACACTTCTATGTACATATTTATCCACATGTACCTAATGCTATTATTAAAAAAATACGTTTTAATAATGATTTAAATATTAGGTGTACAAATTAGTTCGGTACGTTTTTTGTGTTCAAAAATGCATTTATTTCAAAACAAAATGGATAAACAGATTAATTAAAGTATTGTCCATCGCTGGCGAGCAACTACTTTTTCCCATCTCTCGAATTCCATCTCGAAAAAATGATTCGTCGTTGGAGGCGATTATTTGGAAAACGGACCGAAATAATTTATACTCCTAATATATTTCTATTTGATTTGCTCATCTTCTTCTAATTGGATTGTTCATTCGATATTGTTTGTGAATTTCTTTCATGGCAAACTTTCTTGGTAATTAAAAATTGTATTAAAATTAATAGATATGTAGTAATGTTACTCACTAGCTAAAAATAAAATTACATGTAAATAAGCGCACAATACATCATATAAAACAAATAATCATTAACTCACCGCAACGAGAAGCGTTGCATCTAGTATAAGACCCTTAGCGGAAAATATATTTTCCCGATGCAGTACCTGCAAGGAAAATTGCTGCAACTTTAAAACATCAGATTAGACTATTTAATATAAAATTAAGAAATAATTTCTAACTGTGCAGATTTAATGTATAAAAATCGTCACACGAGATATCTTCACAAAAATGTATAAATTAAATTTTATTTACTTCATCTTTGATTTGTTCGTCGATAGTATCGTTCAGTATTTCATGTACGGTGATACCGACCATTATGGCTTCATCCTTGCCTGTATCACAAGCCCATGCCGTCAATGTTATTTTGATGAATTGATACGTTAAAGCCGTTACTAATAACACATCATGAAACGTGTGGTAACCATACATGTAAGCGTTCCATAAACAAATTATATAAAGATACAGACAAAAAGTAAGTTCAACGAAAGTCATAACTATGGTAGCAAGAAGTTGTAGACCGAAAACCGTATTTAACATTTGCACTGTGTCACTGATCATCAAATGCTGTGTTATCAATGCTTTGAGTTTCATAAGCAGGAACGGATTTCTTCGTGCATGATAAATTCCTCTCAAGAGATGAGGGTTATCATTTACCACGAGCTTCCGCAAATTCGTTAGATTATCGTTGATTTCCTTAAAACAGTATTTTATTACGCATACACAATTCATATACAACATATCCGTTTGAAATCCTATCAAGTGGATGCACGATACAAGAATCTTGTCTGCGTTATCAAAATCTAATAGAAAATAACAAAATATCATGTGTCCAACTACAAAAAAGAAACCAAAAATATCTTTAGCGTGAATCAGTCTAGATAGCTTTCGATATGAGTTAGGAGACAATATCAAAGAAATTTCCATTATATTTTGAAGTAAGTGCATCCGAAGATCTTTCATAATGTATGTAACAATCGCGATAAGTAGACCGTATATAAAATAACAATTGCGTTTTATAGTTATAAATGTGTTATCATACTTAATCGTTCCACTAATGTCAATCCCATACAGCATTATTAAAGTAAACAAACAGAAAACGCAAGTAATGACAGTTGTCAGAATATAGCGCTGTTTCGTAGTTTCAAAAGTTGAAGCGTTGATGCGATACGGAAATATTCCGAGTATGCTGCAGAAGGTGAAGCAAGGATACATAAGCGATTGAAAGTCGGTAGCATGGAACAGCTGCCATCGTCTCCACATTTTGTACTTAATGCATCTTCGAAATTTCAATAATATATTTATCATTATCGGTAGAATAGAAGTTCCTAACAACTTATATCACACACCAACTTAGATTAAACTGTCCAAAAATGACTATTCTTTATGGTTAACACAAGCTTTACTATGAAATTTTCTTTCTGTATGCAGCTTCTAATATCATTTGATGAGGATTTTTCATCGTTCTACACTTGGTCAGTTTCTATTTAAAACTGCAAGCACTTGCAGCATCGAAACAATAACTAACTGCTGAATTGTTAGTCATAAAGTAACCATGGTGCTCTTCGATCGGTAATCACCACCTTTGATGTGTAGAGTAGGGGAGACCAGAGACAAATGTAACGAGGGAAATATAGCTTAAAGGTATAAAATGTTATAAAAATATTTAAATCGACCAATAATTTTTATCCTCCATTTTTACACGTCAATCACAATCTTCTTTTACCTTTGTTCATAATATACATAAACAAGTGGTTATTGAATTTCTATTATTTTACTGATATAATATATTGAAAGTAATTATTTATATTTCCATAATGTTAGTTGTATATCTTTTCATTCTAATTACGTAAAATCCTCTATATTTAACAATATTTTTGACAATAGCCATGCAGCATATTAATAAAAGACTGCGGTTTTGTACTTGTATATTCTCAAGATTTACTGGTTTTTTAAATTTTTATTTAACATTGATAATAACCCGATCGGTGTCAAAGCGTTCGTATATATGTATATATTATATTATTTTATTAAACAAAATTGATTTCGCTCCTAGCTCTTCTTATTGTCATTATTAATTGTCTATTTCTGTTTGCATTGTACTAAATAGACATTAAATTAAAAAATAGGTACAAAATTTATTATGATTGGTGTGTTCGAAGAGCATGTAACAACGTGATAATGAGAGTTACTCATAATGCGATTAAAAGAAACAAGATGTTACTTTGTAATAATATCAGTAAAAAATCAAATTGACCAAACTGGCAATAGATTATAAACTAAAAACTAGCTTATACTTTGAATAAACCAATCTTTAATTTATAACCTCTGTTGTAAGTTTGTTTTAATTTGAATTTTTTTATTGATATTATTGCGTAGCTAAACCAGATATTAATATTATTCAATTACATTCTTCATATTCGCTTTCTTTTTATGCTGTGTTAAGCAAAATCAGACTTTCCATGCAAAATGATGTTTGTATCATACCCTTCTGTCAGTTACATCTCGTTAGTGGGGCAAATGGAATGGACTTCGATATTTGCGTGAAAAGTCGGACATTCTTAGGCAATGTGGGACAAAAAATTTACTACTAAAATTTCAGTTTAACTCTAAACATTACAAAAACTATAACCGCCACAGTTCATGAGGTAAAGTTATTCAAGATCGAAATACAATACTATCGATTATGATTAATCTAACTATTTATCTAGATTAAAATTCATCGACATATCCTCCTTAGTAAAATTTTTAATAGACCGTAATCTAACTATTTATCTCGATTAAAATTAATCGATGTATTCTCTTTGGTAAAATTTTTAACAGATTGTAATCTATAAACTATGTGCAGATGACTAATATTTTTTATTTCAGCAAAAATAAAAGAATATACATGAAAAACATAAATGTTATCACACTAATTCATCAACTGCATTACAATTCAATTAGACGTCATTCAATCATCATTAGAAAATTAATTAACTTAAGTCTAAAAAATATTTAATAAGCTATATTTACGAAAATTAGTTTTAATAATAAAATCAATTCCAAAAATATAACTCGTTTAATGCTGTAAATAAAATAAGAGTATATATATATAACAAATCTGAATTAATCCAAATATTAGATAGGATTAATCTCAAAGGTAAGACTAACAAATTTCACACATTAGTATATAAGACGATGTCTTTCACAAATATATTTATAATATTTGACACACGATACACATAAGCAAATAAAATACTTTTACACAATAAAAACTTATTTTTGCAATTAAGTGTTATTATGTAAGATATTATCTCAACACATCTATGTAAACATTTATCCACATGTATCTAATGCTAAAAGAATACGTTTTAATAATGAATTAAATATATTTCTATTTGATTTGATCATCTTCTTCTAATTGGATTGTTCATGCAATATTGTTTGTGAATCTTCTTCATAGTAAACTTTCTTGGTAATTAAAAATTGTATTAAAATTAATAGATACGTAGTAATGTTACTCACTAGCTAAAAGTAAAATTACATGTAAGTAAGCAATACATCATATAAAACAAATAATCATTAACTCACCGCAACGAGAAGCGTTGCATCTAGTATAAGACCCTTAGCGGAAAATATATTTTCCCGATGCAGTACCTGCAAGGAAAATTGCTGCAACTTTAAAACATCAGATTAGACTATTTAATATAAAATTAAGAAATAATTTCTAACTGTGCAGATTTAATGTATAAAAATCGTCACACGAGATATCTTCACAAAAATGTATAAATTAAATTTTATTTACTTCATCTTTGATTTGTTCGTCGATAGTATCGTTCAGTATTTCATGTACGGTGATACCGACCATTATGGCTTCATCCTTGCTTGTATCACAAGCCCATGCTATGAATGCTATTTTGATGCATTGAAACATTAAAGCCATTACCAATAACACAACATGAAACGTGTGGTAACCATACATGTAAGTGTTCCATAAAGAAATTATATAAAGATACAGTAAAAAAGTAAGTTCAACGAAAGTCAAAACTATGGTAGCAAGAAGTTGTAGACCGAAAACCATATTTAACATTTGCACTGTGTCACTGATCATCAAATGCTGTGTTATCAATGCTTTGAGTTTCATAAGCAGGAACGAATTTCTTCGTGCATGATAAATTCCTCTCAAGAGATGAGGGTTATCATTCACCACGAGCTTCCGCAAATTCGTTAGATTATCGTTGATTTCCTTAAAACAGTATTTTATTACGCATACACAATTCATATACAACATATCCGTTTGAAATCCTATCAAGTGGATGTACGCTACAAGAATCATGTCTGTGTTACCAAAATCTAATATAAAACAACAAAATATTATGTGTCCGACTAGAAAAGAGAAACCAAAAATATCTTTAGCGTGAATCAGTCTAGATAGCTTTCGATATGAGTTAGGAGACAATATCAAAGAAATTTCCATTATATTTTGAAGTAAGTGCATCCGAGGATCCTTCATAATGTATGTAATAATCGCGATAAGTAGACCGTATATAAAATAACAATTGCGTTCTATAGTTATAGGTGTGTCATCATATTTAATCGTTCCACTAATGTCAATCCCATACAGCATTATTAAAGTAAACAGACAGAAAACGCAAGTAATGACGGTTGTCAGAATATAGCGCTGTTTGGTAGTTTCAAAAGTCAAAGCGTTGATGCGATACGGAAATATTCCGAGTACGTTGCAGAAGGTGAAGCAAGGATACATAAGCGATTGAAAGTCGGTAGCATGGAACAGCTTCCATCTTCTCCACATTTTGCACTTAATGCATCTTCGAAATTTCAATATATTTATCATTATCGGTAGAATAGAAGTTCCTAACAACTTATATCACACACCAACTTAGATTAAACTGTCCAAAAATGACTATTCTTTATGGTTAACACAAGCTTTACTATGAAATTTTCTTTCTGTATGCAGCTTCTAATATCATTTGATGAGGATTTTTCATCGTTCTACACTTGGTCAGTTTCTATTTAAAACTGCAAGCACTTGCAGCATCGAAACAATAACTAACTGCTGAATTGTTAGTCATAAAGTAACCATGGTGCATTTCGATCGGTAATCACCACGTTTGATGTGTAGAGTAGGGGAGACCAGAGACAAATGTAACGCGGGAAATATAGATTAAAGGTATAAAATGTTATAAAAATATTTAAATTGACCAATAATTTTTATCCTTCATATTTACACGTCAATCACAATCTTCTTTTACCTTTGTTCATAATATACATAAACAAGTGGTCCTTGTGAATTTCTATTATTTTACTAAAACAGTGTACGTTAAAAGTAATTATTCATATTACCATAATGTTAGTTGTATATCTTTTCATTCTAATTACGTAAAATCCTCTATATTTAACAATATATTTGACAATAGCGGTGCAGCATATTAATAGAAGACTGCGATTTTGTACTTGTATATTCTCAAAATTTACCGGTTTTTTAAATTTTTATTTAACATTGATAATGACCCGAACGGTGTAAATAAACGCGTTCGTATATATAAATATGTAAATATTATATTATTTTATTAGACTAAATTAATTTCGCTCTTCTTATTGTCATTATTAATTGTTTATTTCTGTTTGCATTGTACTAAATAGACATTAAATTAAAAAATAGGTACAAAATTTATTATGGTTGTGTGTTGGAAGAGCATGTAACAACGTGATAATGAGAGTAACTCATAATGCGAATAAAAGTAACAAGATGTTACTTTCTTTACTGATATTATTACTTTGTAATAATATCACTAAAAAATTAAATTAGACCAAACTGACTATAGATTATAAACTAAAAACTAACTCATACTTAGAATGAACTAATCTTTAATTTATAACCTCTGTCGTAAGTTTGTTTTAATTTGAACTTTTTTATTGATATTATTACATAGCTAAACAAAGCCAGGTATTATATTAAGTTACATTCTTCATATTCGCTTTTTTTCTATGCTCTGTTAAGCAAAGTCAGATTTACCATGCAAAATGATGTTTGTATTGTACCCTCCTACCACGAAAGTCGGTTACATCTTGTTAGTGGGGCAGATGGAGTGGACTTCGATTTGCGTGAAAAGTCGATCGTTTCTACGCAAGGAAGAAATAGGATGATTTTCGCTTTGTATTAAAAGTCGGATAAAAGTAATTCTTTAATAGTTTATCCTATAAAAAGAAAATTATCTACCAAAATTGCATTTTAATTATAATTATCTCAAACATATAACAGACCGCCACACATATACGATAATTGTAAAGTTATTTGGGATCAAAGTACAATGCTATCGATTATGATTAATCTAACTATTTATCTAGATTAAAATTAATCGATATATTCTCTTTGGTAAAATTTTGAACAGATTGTAATCTATAAACTATGTTCAGGATGACTGATATTTTTTATTTCAGTAAAAATAAGAGAATATAATACATGAAAAACATAAATGTTATTACACTAATTCATCGACTGTATTACATTTCAATTAGATGTCATTCAATCATTATTAGAAAATTAATTAACTTAAAGTCTAAAAAATGTTTAATGAGCTATATTTACGAAAATTACTTTTAATAGTAAAATCAATTCCAAAAATATAACTCGTTTAATGCTGTAAGTAAAATAAGAGTATATATATAACAAATCTGAATTAATCCAAATATTAGATAGGATTAATCTCAAAAGGTAAGACTAACAAATTTTACACATTAGTATATAAGACTAAGTCTTTCACAAATATATTTATAATATTTGACACACGATACACATAAGCAAATAAAATACTTTTACACAATAAAAATTTATATTTGCAATTAAGTGTTATTATATAAGGTATTATCTCTACACTTCTATGTACACATTTATCCACATGTATCTAATGCTAAAAGAATACGTTTTAGTAATGAATTAAATATATTTCTATTTAATTTGATCATCTTCTTTTAATTGGATTGTTCACAAATATTGTTTGTGGATCTTTTTCATGGTAAACTTATTTGGTAATTAAAAATTGTATTAAAATTAATAGATACGTAGTAATGTTACTCAATAGCTAAAAATTAAATTACATGTAAGTAAAAAAAAAGCAATACATCATATATAACAAATAATCATTAACTCACCGCAACGAGAAGCGTTGCATCTAGTATAATACCCTTAGCGGAAAATATATTTTCCCGATACAGTACCTGCAAGGAAAATTGCTGCAACTTTAAAACATCAGATTAGATTATTTAATATAAAATTAAGAAATAATTTCTAACTGTGCAGATTTAATGTATAAAGTTCATCACACGAAATATCTTCACAAAAATGTATAAATTAAATTTTACTTACTTCGTCTTTGATTTGTTCGTCGATAGTATCGTTCAATATTTTATGAACGGTGATACCGACCATTATGGCTTCATCCTTGCCTGTATCACAAGCCCATCCTATCAATGCTATTTTGGTGAAATGATACGTCAAAGCCATTACCAATATCACATCATAAAGCGTGTAGAAACCATACATGTAAATGTTCCATAAACAAATTATAAAATAATACAGACAAAAAGTAAGTGCAACGAAAGTCATAACTATGGTAGCAAGAAGCTGTAGACCGAAAACCATATTCAACATTTGCACTGTGTCGCTGATCGTCAAATGCTGCGTTTTCATTGTTTTGAGTTTCATTAGCAGAAATGGATTCTTCTGCTCGTGATAAATTTTTCTCAAAAGATGTGGTTCGTCGTTCACAATCAACGTCCGGAAATTCGTCAGATTATCGTTGATTTCCTTAAAACAAGCTTTTAATACGCATACACAATTCATGTACAACATATCCATTTGAAATCCTGTCAAGAGGATGTATGCTACAAGAATCTTGTCTGTGTTTCCAAAATCTAATATGAAACAACAAAATATTATGTGTCCGACTACAAAAAAGAAACCAAAAATATCTTTAGCGTGAATCAGTCTAGATAGCTTTCGATATGAGTTAGGAGACAATATCAAAGAAATTTCCATTATATTTTGGAGTAAGTGCATCTTAGGATCTTTCATAATGTATGTAACAACCGCGATAAATAGACCGTATATAAAAAAACAATTGCGTTCCATAGTTATGGGTGTGGTATCATACTTCATCGTTCCACTTATGTCAATCCCATACAGCATTATTAAAGTAAACAAACATAAAACGCAAATAATGACGGTTGTTAGAATATAGCGCTGTTTCGTAGTTTCAAAAGTTGAAGCGTTGATGCGATACGGAAATATTCCGAGTATGCTGCAGAAGGTGAAGCAAGGATACATAAGCGATTGAAAGTCGGTAGCATGGAACAGCTGCCATCGTCTCCACATTTTGTACTTAATGCATCTTCGAAATTTCAATAATATATCTATCATTATTGGTAAAATAGAAGTTCCTAACAACTTATATCACACACCAACTTAGATTAAACTATCCAAAAATGACTATTCTTTACACCTTATGGTTAACACAAGCTTTACTATGAAATTTTCTTTCTGATGGAGCTTCTAATATCATTTGATGAGGATTTTTCAACGTTCTGCACTTGGCCAGTTTCTATTTAAAACTGCAAGCACTTGCAGCATCGAAACAATAACTAACTGCTGAATTGTTAGTCATAAAGTAACCATGGTGCTCTTCGATCGGTAATCACCACCTTTGATGTGTAGAGTAGGGGAGACCACAGACAAATGTAACGCGGGAAATATAGCTTAAAGGTATAAAATGTTATAAAAATATTTAAATCGACCAATAATTTTTATCCTTCATTTTTACACGTCAATCACAATCTTCTTTTATACCTTTGTTCATAATATTTATATATAAACACGTGGTTCTTGAATTTCTATTATTTTACTGAAACGGTACATTAAAAGTATTTATTTATATTAATGTTAGTTGTATATCTTTTCATTCTAATTACGTAAAATCCTCTATATTTAGCAATATTTTTGACAATAGCGATTTAGCATATGTATATACTAGAATAGAAGACTGCGGTTTTGTACTTGTATATTCTCAAGATTTACCGGTTTTTAAATTTTTATTTAACATTGATAATGACCCGATCGATGTCAAAACGTTCGTATGTAAATATTATTTTATTAAACTAAATTGATTTCGCTCGTACCTCTTCTTATAGTCATTATTAATTGTCTATTTCTGTTTGCATTGTACTAAATAGACATTAAATTAAAAAATAGGTACAAAATTTATTATGATTGGTGTGTTGGAAGAGCATGTAACAACGTGATAATGAGAGTTACTCATAATGCGAATAAAAGAAACAAGATGTTACTTTGTAATAATATCAGTAAAAAATCAAATTGACCAAACTGGCAATAGATTATAAACTAAAAACTAGCTCACACTTAGAATAAACTAATCTTTAATTTATAACCTCTGTTGTAAATTTGTTTTAATTTGAATTTTTTTATTGATATTATTGCGTAGCTAAATAAAGCTAGGTATTAATATTATTAAGTTACATTCTTCATGTTCGCTTTTTTTCTATGTTTGGTTAAGCAAAGTCAGACTTTCCATGCAAAATGATGTTTGTATCATACCTTCCTACTACGAAAGTCGGTTACATCTTGTTAGTGGGGCAGATGGAGTGGACTTCGATACGTGGAAAATCGGACGTTCCTATGCAAGGAAGAAATAGGATGGTTTTCGCTTTGTATTAAAAGTCAGATAGAAGTAGTCCTTTAATAGTTTATTCTCTAAAAAGAAAATTATCTACCAAAATTGCATTTTAATTATAATTACCTCAAACTTATAACAGACCGCCACACATATACGGTAATTGTTCAAGTACAGTTATTCGGGATCAAAGTACAGTGCTATCGATTAGTATTATTAATCTAACTATTTATCTAGATTAAAACTGATCGATATGTTTTCCCGGGTGAAAATTTTAATATATCGTAATCTAACAACTTATCTTGATTAAAATTAATCGACATATTCTCTTTGGTAAAATTTTTAGCAGATGGTAATGTATGGAATGTGTATGAAGGATGGCTAATTTTTTTATTTCAACAATAGTAAAGGAGTGCAATGAAGAAAGATATGAATTAGTTATTACACTAATTTATCAATCGCATTATACTTTCTTGAAATTTCTTTTAAACATCATTAATAAACGAATTAGCGTAAGATGCAAAAAAATATTTAATAAGATTTTATAATAATTAAATTTAACCATAAGGTCCACTTCAAAAACATGTTTCCTTCTTTATCATTAATGCTGTATGAAAAATAAGAGTATAATAAATCTGAACTAGATGAAATAGAATTAATTAAAAGTATCGCTAACAAATTTTAACCTCATATTAGTAAAATGATATCTCTTACAAAAATATTTATTACATTTGACAGACGGTACACATAAGTAAGACAAATATCTTTACTTAATAAGGATTTATTTTTACAGTTTAATGTTAACATTTAAGATTTCGTCTCTACATACACATATACATCCACATGCATCTAATGCTAAAATATACACACAAAAAATACGTTTTAATAATTAAATGTATTTATTTGATTTGATTATTTTCTAATTAGATCGTTTATGTGAAATTGTTTGTTATCTTTTTAAACTTATTTGGTAATTAAGAATTGTATTAAAATTAACAGATACGTAGTAATGTTACTCACTAGCTAAAAGTAAAATTACACGTAAGTAAGCAAATCATCATATAAAACAAATAATCATTAACTCACCGCAACGAGAAGCGTTGCATCTAGTATAAGACCATTAGCGGAAAATATATTTTCCCGATGCAGTACTTGCAAGGAAAATTGCTGCAACTTTAAAACATCAGATTAGATTATTAAAAGTATATAAAATTAAGAAATCATTTCGAACTGTGCGGATTTAATGTATACAGTTTGTCATACGAAATGTCATCACAAAAATGTAAAAATTAAATTTTATTTACTTCATCTTTGATTTGTTTGTCGATAGTGTCGTTTAGTATTTCATGAACGGTGATACCGACCATTATGGCTTCATCCTTGCCTGTATCACAAGCCCATCCTATCAATATTGAAAGTAATTATTTATATTACCATAATGTTAGTTGTATATCTTTTCATTCTAATCACCTAAAATCCTCTATATATAGCAATATTTTTGACAATAGCGATGCAGCATATTAATAGAAGACTGCGATTTTGTACTTGTATATTCTCAAGATTTACCGGTTTTTTAAATTTTTATTTAACATTGATAATGACTCGATGGGTGTCAAAACGTTCGTATATGTAAATATTATATTATTTTATTAAACTAAATTGATTTCGCTCGTAGCTCATCTTATTGTAATTATTAATTGTCTATTTCTGTTTGCATTGTACTAAATAGACATTAAATTAAAAAATAGGTACAAAATTTATTATGATTGGTGTGTTGGAAGAGCATGTAACAACGTGATAATGAGAGTTACTCATAATGCGAATAAAAGAAACAAGATGTTACTTTGTAATAATATCAGTAAAAAATCAAATTGACCAAACTGGCAATAGATTATAAACTAAAAACTAGCTCACACTTAGAATAAACTAATCTTTAATTTATAACCTCTGTTGTAAATTTGTTTTAATTTGAATTTTTTTATTGTCATACGAAATGTCATCACAAAAATGTAAAAATTAAATTTTATTTACTTCATCTTTGATTTGTTTGTCGATAGTGTCGTTTAGTATTTCATGAACGGTGATACCGACCATTATGGCTTCATCCTTGCCTGTATCACAAGCCCATCCTATCAATGCTATTTTGATGAATTGATACGTCAAAGACGTTGCCAATATCACATCATAAAACGTGTGGTAACCATACATGTAAGTGTTCCATAAACAAATTATGTAATAATATAGACAAAAAGTAAGTCCAACAAAAGTCATAACTATGGTAGCAAGAAGTTGTAGACCGAAAACCGTATTTAACATTTGCACTGTGTCACTAATCATCAAATGCTGTGTTATCAATTCTTTGAGTTTCATAAGCAGAAACGGATTTCTCTGTTCATGATAAATTTTTCTCAAAAGATGTGGTTTATCGTTCACCACGAGCTTCCGCAAATTCGTTAAATTATCGTTGATTTCCTTAAAACAGGTTTTTAATACGCATACACAATTCATGTACAACATATCCATTTGAAATCCTGTCAAGAGGATGTATCCTACAAGAATCTTGTCTATGTTACCAAAATCTAATACAGAATAATAAAATATTATGTGTCCAATTAGATAAGAAGAACCAAAAATATCTTTAGCGTGAATCAGTCTAGATAGCTTTCGATATGAGTTAGGAGACAATATCAAAGAAATTTCCATTATATTTTGGAGTAAGTGCATCCGAGGATTTTTCATAATGTATGTAACAATCGCGATAAATAGACCGTATATAAAAAAGCAATTGCGTTCTATAGTTACAGGTGTGCTATAATACGTAATCGTTCCACTAATGTCAATCCCATACAGCATTATTAAAGTAAACAAACAGAAAACGCAAGTAATGACGGTTGTCAGAATATAGCGCTGTTTCGTAGTTTCAAAAGTCAAAGCGTTGATGCAATACGGAAATATTCCGAGCATGTCGCAGAAGGTGAAGCAAGGATACATAAGCGATTGAAAGTCGGTAGCATGGAACAGCTGCCATCTTCTCCACATTTTGCACTTAATGCATCTTCGAAATTTCAATAATATATTTATTATTATCGGTAGAATAGAAGTTCCTAACAACTTATATCACACACCAACTTATTGTTAGATTAAACTGTCTAAAAATAACTATCTTTTTTTTTTACACCTTACGGTTAACACAAGCTTTACTATGAAATTTTCTTTCTGTATGCAGCTTCTAATATCATTTGATGACGATTTTTCATCGTTCTACACTTAGCCAGTTTCTATTTAAGACTGCAAGCACTTGCAGCATCGGGACAATAACTAACTGCTGAATTGTTAGTCATAAAGTAACCATGGTGCTTTTCGATCGGTAATCACCACGCTTGATGTGTAGAGTAGGGGAGACCACAGACAAATGTAACGCGGGAAATATAGCTTAAAGGTATAAAATGTTATAAAAATATTTAAATCGACCAATAATTTTTATCCTTCATTTTTACACGTCAATCACAATCTTCTTTTATACCTTTGTTCATAATATTTATATATAAACACGTGGTTCTTGAATTTCTATTATTTTACTGAAACGGTACATTAAAAGTATTTATTTATATTAATGTTAGTTGTATATCTTTTCATTCTAATTACGTAAAATCCTCTATATTTAGCAATATTTTTGACAATAGCGATTTAGCATATGTATATACTAGAATAGAAGACTGCGGTTTTGTACTTGTATATTCTCAAGATTTACCGGTTTTTAAATTTTTATTTAACATTGATAATGACCCGATCGATGTCAAAACGTTCGTATGTAAATATTATTTTATTAAACTAAATTGATTTCGCTCGTACCTCTTCTTATAGTCATTATTAATTGTCTATTTCTGTTTGCATTGTACTAAATAGACATTAAATTAAAAAATAGGTACAAAATTTATTATGATTGGTGTGTTGGAAGAGCATGTAACAACGTGATAATGAGAGTTACTCATAATGCGAATAAAAGAAACAAGATGTTACTTTGTAATAATATCAGTAAAAAATCAAATTGACCAAACTGGCAATAGATTATAAACTAAAAACTAGCTCACACTTAGAATAAACTAATCTTTAATTTATAACCTCTGTTGTAAATTTGTTTTAATTTGAATTTTTTTATTGATATTATTGCGTAGCTAAATAAAGCTAGGTATTAATATTATTAAGTTACATTCTTCATGTTCGCTTTTTTTCTATGTTTGGTTAAGCAAAGTCAGACTTTCCATGCAAAATGATGTTTGTATCATACCTTCCTACTACGAAAGTCGGTTACATCTTGTTAGTGGGGCAGATGGAGTGGACTTCGATACGTGGAAAATCGGACGTTCCTACGCAAGGAAGAAATAGGATGGTTTTCGCTTTGTATTAAAAGTCAGATAGAAGTAGTCCTTTAATAGTTTATTCTCTAAAAAGAAAATTATCTACCAAAATTGCATTTTAATTATAATTACCTCAAACTTATAACAGACCGCCACACATATACGGTAATTGTTCAAGTACAGTTATTCGGGATCAAAGTACAGTGCTATCGATTAGTATTATTAATCTAACTATTTATCTAGATTAAAACTGATCGATATGTTTTCCCGGGTGAAAATTTTAATATATCGTAATCTAACAACTTATCTTGATTAAAATTAATCGACATATTCTCTTTGGTAAAATTTTTAGCAGATGGTAATGTATGGAATGTGTATGAAGGATGGCTAATTTTTTTATTTCAACAATAGTAAAGGAGTGCAATGAAGAAAGATATGAATTAGTTATTACACTAATTTATCAATCGCATTATACTTTCTTGAAATTTCTTTTAAACATCATTAATAAACGAATTAGCGTAAGATGCAAAAAAATATTTAATAAGATTTTATAATAATTAAATTTAACCATAAGGTCCACTTCAAAAACATGTTTCCTTCTTTATCATTAATGCTGTATGAAAAATAAGAGTATAATAAATCTGAACTAGATGAAATAGAATTAATTAAAAGTATCGCTAACAAATTTTAACCTCATATTAGTAAAATGATATCTCTTACAAAAATATTTATTACATTTGACAGACGGTACACATAAGTAAGACAAATATCTTTACTTAATAAGGATTTATTTTTACAGTTTAATGTTAACATTTAAGATTTCGTCTCTACATACACATATACATCCACATGCATCTAATGCTAAAATATACACACAAAAAATACGTTTTAATAATTAAATGTATTTATTTGATTTGATTATTTTCTAATTAGATCGTTTATGTGAAATTGTTTGTTATCTTTTTAAACTTATTTGGTAATTAAGAATTGTATTAAAATTAACAGATACGTAGTAATGTTACTCACTAGCTAAAAGTAAAATTACACGTAAGTAAGCAAATCATCATATAAAACAAATAATCATTAACTCACCGCAACGAGAAGCGTTGCATCTAGTATAAGACCATTAGCGGAAAATATATTTTCCCGATGCAGTACCTGCAAGGAAAATTGCTGCAACTTTAAAACATCAGATTAGATTATTAAAAGTATATAAAATTAAGAAATCATTTCGAACTGTGCGGATTTAATGTATACAGTTTGTCATACGAAATGTCATCACAAAAATGTAAAAATTAAATTTTATTTACTTCATCTTTGATTTGTTTGTCGATAGTGTCGTTTAGTATTTCATGAACGGTGATACCGACCATTATGGCTTCATCCTTGCCTGTATCACAAGCCCATCCTATCAATGCTATTTTGATGAATTGATACGTCAAAGACGTTGCCAATATCACATCATAAAACGTGTGGTAACCATACATGTAAGTGTTCCATAAACAAATTATGTAATAATATAGACAAAAAGTAAGTCCAACAAAAGTCATAACTATGGTAGCAAGAAGTTGTAGACCGAAAACCGTATTTAACATTTGCACTGTGTCACTAATCATCAAATGCTGTGTTATCAATTCTTTGAGTTTCATAAGCAGAAACGGATTTCTCTGTTCATGATAAATTTTTCTCAAAAGATGTGGTTTATCGTTCACCACGAGCTTCCGCAAATTCGTTAAATTATCGTTGATTTCCTTAAAACAGGTTTTTAATACGCATACACAATTCATGTACAACATATCCATTTGAAATCCTGTCAAGAGGATGTATCCTACAAGAATCTTGTCTATGTTACCAAAATCTAATACAGAATAATAAAATATTATGTGTCCAATTAGATAAGAAGAACCAAAAATATCTTTAGCGTGAATCAGTCTAGATAGCTTTCGATATGAGTTAGGAGACAATATCAAAGAAATTTCCATTATATTTTGGAGTAAGTGCATCCGAGGATTTTTCATAATGTATGTAACAATCGCGATAAATAGACCGTATATAAAAAAGCAATTGCGTTCTATAGTTACAGGTGTGCTATAATACGTAATCGTTCCACTAATGTCAATCCCATACAGCATTATTAAAGTAAACAAACAGAAAACGCAAGTAATGACGGTTGTCAGAATATAGCGCTGTTTCGTAGTTTCAAAAGTCAAAGCGTTGATGCAATACGGAAATATTCCGAGCATGTCGCAGAAGGTGAAGCAAGGATACATAAGCGATTGAAAGTCGGTAGCATGGAACAGCTGCCATCTTCTCCACATTTTGCACTTAATGCATCTTCGAAATTTCAATAATATATTTATTATTATCGGTAGAATAGAAGTTCCTAACAACTTATATCACACACCAACTTATTGTTAGATTAAACTGTCTAAAAATAACTATCTTTTTTTTTTACACCTTACGGTTAACACAAGCTTTACTATGAAATTTTCTTTCTGTATGCAGCTTCTAATATCATTTGATGACGATTTTTCATCGTTCTACACTTAGCCAGTTTCTATTTAAGACTGCAAGCACTTGCAGCATCGGGACAATAACTAACTGCTGAATTGTTAGTCATAAAGTAACCATGGTGCTTTTCGATCGGTAATCACCACGCTTGATGTGTAGAGTAGGGGAGACCACAGACAAATGTAACGCGGGAAATATAGCTTAAAGGTATAAAATGTTATAAAAATATTTAAATCGACCAATAATTTTTATCCTCCATTTTTACACGTCAATCACAATCTTCTTTTACTTTTGTTCATAATATACATAAACAAGTGGTTATTGAATTTCTATTATTTTACTGAAACAATATATTGAAAGTAATTATTTATATTACCATAATGTTAGTTGTATATCTTTTCATTCTAATCACCTAAAATCCTCTATATATAGCAATATTTTTGACAATAGCGATGCAGCATATTAATAGAAGACTGCGATTTTGTACTTGTATATTCTCAAGATTTACCGGTTTTTTAAATTTTTATTTAACATTGATAATGACTCGATGGGTGTCAAAACGTTCGTATATGTAAATATTATATTATTTTATTAAACTAAATTGATTTCGCTCGTAGCTCATCTTATTGTAATTATTAATTGTCTATTTCTGTTTGCATTGTACTAAATAGACATTAAATTAAAAAATAGGTACAAAATTTATTATGATTGGTGTGTTGGAAGAGCATGTAACAACGTGATAATGAGAGTTACTCATAATGCGAATAAAAGAAACAAGATGTTACTTTGTAATAATATCAGTAAAAAATCAAATTGACCAAACTGGCAATAGATTATAAACTAAAAACTAGCTCACACTTAGAATAAACTAATCTTTAATTTATAACCTCTGTTGTAAATTTGTTTTAATTTGAATTTTTTTTATTGATATTATTGCGTAGCTAAATAAAGCTAGGTATTAATATTATTAAGTTACATTCTTCATGTTCGCTTTTTTTCTATGTTTGGTTAAGCAAAGTCAGACTTTCCATGCAAAATGATGTTTGTATCATACCTTCCTACTACGAAAGTCGGTTACATCTTGTTAGTGGGGCAGATGGAGTGGACTTCGATACGTGGAAAATCGGACGTTCCTACGCAAGGAAGAAATAGGATGGTTTTCGCTTTGTATTAAAAGTAATCGGATATAAGTAATCCTTTAATAGTTTATTCTCTAAAAAGAAAATTATCTAACAAAATTGCATTCTAATTATAATTATTTCAAACCTATAACAGACCGCCACACATATACGATAATTGTTCAAGTAAAGTTATTCGGGATCAAAGTACAGTGCTATCGATTATTATTAATCTAACTATTTATCTAGATTAAAACTGATCGATATGTTTTCCCATGTGAAAATTTTAATATATTGTAATCTAACCAACTTATCTTGATTAAAATTAATCGACATATTTTCTTTGGTAAAACTTTTAGCAGAGGTAATGTATAGAATGTATAAAGGATGGCTAATTTTTTTATTTCAACAATAGTAAAGGAGTGCAATGACGAAAGATATGAATGTTATCACACTAATTTGTCAATCGTATTACACTTTCTTGAAATGTCCTTTAAACATCATTAATAAACGAATTAGCGTAAGATGCAAAAGAATATTCAATAAGCTTTTTACAAAAATTAAATTTAACCATAAGGTCCACTTCAAAAACATGTTTCCTTTTTTATTATTAATGCTGTATGAAAAATAAGAGTATAATAAATCTGAACTAAAAATATACTTAATTAAAGGTGTTGCTAACAAATTTTAACCTCAACTTGTCATATTAATAAGATGATATCTCTTACAAATATATTTATTATATTTGACAGACGGTACACATAAGTAAGAGAAATACCTTTACTTAATAAGGATTTATTTTTACAATTTAATGTTAACATTTAAGATTTCATCTCTATATATACATATATATCCACATGCATCTAATGCTAAAATATACACACAAATAATTAACGTTTTAATAATTAAATATATTTATTTGATTTAATTATTTTCAAATTTGATCGTTAATGTGAAATTGTTTGTTGACTTTTTAAACTTATTTGGTAATTAAAAATTGTATTAAAATTAATAAATACGTAGTGACGTTACTCACTATCTAAAATTAAAATTATTTATAAATAAGCAATATACATTATATGAAACAAATGATCGTTCACTCACCGCAACGAGAAGCGTTGCGTCTAATATAAGACCCTTAGCGGAAAATATATTTTCCCGATGAAGTACTTGCAAGGAAAATTGCTGCAACTTTAAAACATCAGATTAGATTATTAAAAGTATATACAATTAAGAAATCATTTCTAACTGTGCAGATTTAATGTATAAAGTTTGTCACACAAGATATCTTCACAAAAATGTATAAATTGAATTTTATTTACTTCATTTTTTATTTGTTTGTCTATCGTGTCGTTCAGTATTTCATGAACAGTGATACCGACCATTACGGCTTCATCCTTGCCTGCATCACAAGTCCATCCCATCCATACTATTTTGACGAATTGATACGCTAAAGACATTTTCAATAACATTATTTGAAACGTGTAGTCATAATTTACGTTAATTTGCCAGAGAAAAATTATATAGAAATACAGACAGAACGTAAACTCTGCAAAAGTTATAACTATGGTACCAAGAAGCTGTAAACCAAAAATCGTATTCAACATTTGCACTGTGTCACTGATCGTCAAATGCTGCGTTTTCATTGTTTTGAGTTTCATTAATAGAAATGGATTCTTCTGTTCGTGATAAATTTTTCTCAAAAGATGTGGTTCGTCGTTCACAATCAGCATTCGAAAATTCGTCAGATTATCGTTAATTTCCTTAAAACAAGCTTTTAATATGCATACACAATTCATATACAACATATCCATTTGAAATCCTATCAAGAGGATGTATGCTATAAGAATCTTGTCTGTATTACCAAAATCTAATATAAAATAATAAAACATTATGTGTCCGATTAGATAAGAGAAACCAAAAATATCTTTAGCGTGAATCAGTCTAGATAGCTTTCGATATGAGTTAGGAGACAATATAAAAGAGATTTCCATTATATTTTGGAGTAAGTGCATCCGAGGATCTTTCATGATGTATGTAACAACCGCGATAAATAGACCGTATATAAAATAACAATTGCGTTCTATAGTTATAGGTGTGTTTTGATACTTATTCGTTCCACTAATGTTAATCCCATACAGCATTATTAAAATAAACGAACAGAAAACGCAAGTAATGACGGTTGTCAAAATACAACGCTTTCTCGTAGTTTCAAAGGTTGAAGCGTTGATGCGATACGGAAATATTCCGAGTATATTGCAGAAGGTGAAGCAAGGATACATAAGAAAATACAACGCTTTCTCGTAGTTTCAAAAGTCAAAGCGTTGATGCGATACGGAAATATTCCGAGTATATTGCAGAAGGTGAAGCAAGGATACATAAGCGATTGAAAGTCGGTAGCATGGAATAGCTGCCATTTTTTCCACATTTTGCACCTAATGCATTTTTGAAGTTTCAATGACACTTTTATCGTTGTCAGTAGAAGTTTAAA